TATTTGTAGCTTCTACTGCCCTATTCATTTTTGAATGATACGATGTAAAATTATGATGATGAATCTTGAATTGAGTGCACATTTCATTCACCATTTTGTTGTTCAAGTTTTTGGTATTATTAAAAATAATCATTTCTGAAAGCTTATATCTATATATTATCTTTTTTTTTTATGAATTTGCATTCCACAGATTAAGTCACGCTAGCATACAATGCAACTTCTAGCATATTTTGTGGGCAAGGATGTAGAAAACAAAAGGCCGGCAACAGACCAATTCAGCAGAAGTACCATATTTGAAAAAGGACTTCTTTGCCTGTAAAAGGGTGTTACGATTTTCGTATATATAAATGTGTTTGTCAACTCAGATTCATAACACTTTTTTTTTTTTAAGGGGAGCAAAGCCCTATAACAACGAGAGGGGAGAGGTTAGAGTCGAACCCCATTATGTTATTTTCTTGGTAAAAAGAGAAAGCTCCTTATCATTATTAGAACGATAGAAAAGGTGCCAAAGAGAGTACTAGACTTCCACAAAAGCAAAAATTTGTTTCCTTCTTGTTGCAAGCATCAAATTGCCACTAAAAACTATGCACTAGAGTTCTCGTGGTAACAACTTCCTAGATGATTCATATACAAATCAATCAAGCATTCAAAGAACAATTACCGACATACCATGTTCCTTAGATTCATATGTGAATACTGGTCATGCATATGTCTCTTAGCACAGATGCATTCAATTTTTCCCAAGTTTTGCCTTACATTTTAATGGTCATAACCCCATAACTATACCCACTTTGAGGTATAATATTTTTGAAGAGGGTAGTACTTAGAGCAACAAAGATTAAATAGGAAGGTTTAAATGCTCTATATTGTGTTAAAAAAAACCTAACTTGTTGATGCATCATAAAATTGATTACCAGAACTACAGAACCCAAAGAAAAAGAAGCGTAAGCAGGGTTTGTGAAATCCACGAAAGGGTGCAAGCTAGGCAATTGGACTTCAGTTTTTGTCTGGACAGCACTTAATCAACCCTTAGAAATTGCAGAGGACAAAGACTCTTCAAATTTCTAAAATGAGAAAATCGGTTTTTATTTGGCATGAGAGTAAAGAGGCTTTAGATGGTAACTTGCTTAGACTCGGTCGTTTATTATCATCATAATTTTGTAGTTTCATGTAGGTATTTTGCTAATTATCACCTTATGACTTCCTCATTAAGGATGCTTAAAGATGATTACTCTCTTTTGTATTACTGTATGATTATGTATGATGAAGAACTTTGATGATGATAAGTAGCACCTCCTTAGTTGTCACCCGCTCAAAATTAGCCTTTTTATAACCACCATATAAAGAAATGCAATCTTTCATTTTGAGAAGGTTATTTTTGTTGTATTTTTCTAGACTGTGACATGATGCCATCTTACTTGTGATGACTAAAGAATATCCTAATTTACTTTGAAATTTTATTTCTATTGATATTGTTTGTTATTGCTTCTCTATCTCTATAACTATGTGTTGCATCATATAGACTTTGAAAGGTCTAGAAATGTATAGTCCTCAAAAAGTAACTTCACTAAAAAAACTTGTAAATGTGAAGGCAAAAAGAATTATGCCATTAATCCTATACATTACCAAACAATATTTTGAAGGAGTTTGGTTGTAGTTGTGCACAAACATTTTTCTTAATCCATATGGAATAATAACCTATAGGTTTCATTGATAAAGGTCAAGAGCACAAAGTGTGCAGCCTATTAAAATCGATTTACGACCTTAAATAATCTTCCAAACAATGGTATATTGATTTCATCAAGTGATAATTTTATATGATTATGTCATGATTGATAAGAACCACTGTGTATATCAAAAGAGACAAAGGTAAATTTGTGATCTTGTCATTTTATGTAGATGACATACTATTAGTTAGCAATGATGAGGGATATATTATTAAGGTGAAAAACTTGGTTGTCCTCAAATTTTGAAATAAAAGAAATGAGCGAAGCAGCTTACATACTTGGTGTAAAAATTATAAGAGATCATTCCAAGAAGTTGCTAGCTCTTTCACAAGAATAATATATTAAGAAAGTTCTGGAACAATTCAATATGCAAGACTACAAATTGATAGATACTTTTATGGCGAAAGGTGAAGGTCTTAGCCAGAGAATGTGTCTTAAAACTCCACAAGAAAAGGAACAAATGGCAAGAGTTCCTTATTCTAGTGCTGTTAGAAACCTTATGTATGTTATGATGTGCACAAGGTTGGACATCTACTATACTGTGGGAATGGTAAGTAGATATCAATCTAATTCAAGTCAACCCCATTCGAAAGCTATTAAAAGGATATTGAAATATCTAAAAGGTATTATGGATTATTTGTTGTGCTAGTAAGGAAGTGATCTGCATTTGGTTAATTATACGGACACCAATTAAGAAAGATATTTAGATGAAAGAAAATCTACTTCTGGCTACATTTTCTTGCTGAATAGTGGGGTTATTTAGTGGAGTAGTAATAAACACACTTGTATAGCACTATCCATAATGAAAGTTGAATTTGTAGCATTTTCAGTGGTAGTACAAGAGGCTATTTAGTTTAAGAGATTCTTGAATCATGTGGGATTTGAAAAGGTTAAGTCCAACTCAGTATTGGTAAATTACGATAGTCAAGTCGCAATCGCATTCACAAAGGATCTCAAATATCATTCTAAGACCAAATATATAGATACAAAGTATAACTACATGAGAAACATGATTGCACAAAAGAAAGTTAACATGCAATACATTTTTATGCATAAGATGATTGTAGATCCATTTACTAAGCCTATACCTAGAGATATGTTTAATAACCACATGAGATATCTAGGATTGCATAAATGTTGAAGCACATGGACTGCTTGAATAGTTTTATATGAACAACTTATGATATTTTCTCATTTGAGTTGACTTATATTAAATACAATTAATGACATTAAAGTTTCATTCTTTGTTTTGAGATGCATATACATAAGTATATGTATATGTACATTTATGATATGATTTGAAAAGTACGTCAGACAAATGATTGGCCTTCTCACACAAGCAATCATTTTAATGGTTTAGTATCATGAAGATGAGCTATGGATTGAGAGCCCAAGCTTAAAATGAAATCACCTTGATAAAGGATCAAGATGAGGCAACTTGATATCAAGATTTGTGACTGAAAGTGAATATACCTATAATTTAATTTGTCTGTCTTAATACTCAAGTTAAATATTGAAAATATTTGAACTATCACTTGTACAGTATTGTTATATAAATGAGGAAAGACATACACTCCCTGAGAAAATAAGAGTAATACTGTAGCATGTGTTTCATATCACATGTGTATTATTCGACCAATAAGGGTAATAGAAGAATAGATCTCTGCTTCTTGTTGTGTGAGACTTTTGAGATCAAAAGATTTCATATTTATACCTTTAAAGACCTTCAACTGTTTCTTAAAGATTTAGTTCAATGTTAGCTATCTTTGATTGTTGCCAATGGTCATGAATGATTCGATCTAATTGGACATCTCTGGATAGCAGTTGAATTAAAAATGAAGAGATTCTAAAAGAATGAAAGATCATTCTAGTGTCACATTTGGTTGTATTGTCAACCAATTATGTTTGAAACATCAAATATAATTACGAATACACAAGTATATTATGAAATATGATAAAAGAGATATCATAAGAAACTTGAAATATGACTGAATGGATCTAGGGTACTGCATACTTACTCTACTTGTATATAAGAGTTACTATACATATCTAATAATTGTATAAATGACTATATGTGATTATAAGCTGTTATAAGCACCTAACAGTCATATAATAATTGAGCTCTCAAAACATGTTGGTCGCATGACTTTTTTTCTTGTATGAACCCAATGCAAGGAATAGAGAAAATATTTTCGAGATCATGAGAATTTAACACCCATTTTGTGCAAGTGGGAGATATAGGCATAATTGCCCAATAATGGGGTTATAGCCCGTGAACAAAAATTACCTTTAAATAGTTTTTGAAGTAAAATGCCAACTGCCTTGGGTAGTTAATAAGATGGTCGCTCATCCCATTTCCAAAATGATAAAAAGCCATTCAGCTATTAACAAAAAATAAATAATAGAGAGAAAAAGTCTCTTAAAAAAAAAAGAAAAATGAGAGAAAGTGGGGTAAGCATTTTAACAACTTTAAGTGAAGAAATTCTTGTATCTAGTGTGAAAGACTTACATTGTGGAATCGAATAATTTTTGGATTGTGTCTTGTTTAACGACTAATAATTCAAGCCTGGTTTTCACTTTTGCTTTTGCTTCTGCTTAACAAATAAGTATATATAATTATATTCATATATATCTTGCATGTAAATAAATCTTACATGAACATTCTTACTTTTTACACCTCACAAATATTATTATGGTTTTCCTAAAAAACGATTCACACTCATTTCTCTCATTTTCATCTATTTCATCCATTCTATTCAAACTCTAAACCAAAATCAAACCTACTTACAATCAAAATTTTTGGATTTAATCTAGCTACACAACCCTAATATAGAGGTAAATTAACTTTGATTTTTATTAAAATTTTATTAACTGAAATATGATATATTGGAATTTTTTTTTTGCTTGAAATCTTGAATGAGGAAAATGTTTTTTCCTTAATGTTAATGGATTTATATTTTCATAGGCTTTATTCGTAAGTTTTGGGCATCCTTCATCACTATCGATTTTTTTTCGTCCTAGGTATTCATGTTTACAATATACTAGATAATATCAATAGTTTTAATAGTTTAAGATTTGTTATAAAGAAGAAAAAAATGCTAAGAAGAAGAGAAAAAGTAAAATGTAAAAGATGGGTGTGTGAAAAAATAAAATATAATTTTTCACAAATTAATTAAGTAATTTTCTAAAATGATATTTTGTAATAAAAAATACGAATGTAAAGAGAAATGTTTGAAATGCATTTAGAAACTCGTTTGCTTAATTCTATATCCTTTTAATTAAATGATGATATGTAAAAACTGACCCAGTGCGCTTTCGCTAAGCGGGGAAAACACTAAGCACACTTAAAGCATGGAGTCATATTTACTTTGAGAAAAATCCCTAACTCTTAATCTATTTACTATTAAACCACGCAAATATAATTCTTGTTGAGAACGAGGACATTAGGAATTGGGCTTTTCAAAAAAAAAAAAAAAAAGAACACTAGGAATTGGAGAAGAATGGAAAAACATCATTGTCAGTGGGACCATCTGCCAATTAGACGAGTGGGGACAAGCAAACATGGACCAGTAATACTCTGCGCCTTCCTTCACCTTCTTCTCTTTAGTACCCTCCTTTGTTTCTTGTCTTTGGTATGTTCTTTTCCTCTACCGTCTTCCAGTTTCATTCCTCTACAATTTTTATTTTATTTTTTTTTCTCTTCAACAGTTGCAGTTTTTTTTTATTATAAAGTATTATCTTCCCTCTTCATCACCAGTTATTGCAAAGTAGAAAATACCCATTCCCTCTTTGTTTTGTTTTTGGTTTTTTTAAGAGGTTGAAAAATGTTTTATTGTAGAAGGAAAGCATCGAGATCTCTCTCATTACTCATTATTGCTCCGCATTATGTTTTTTTTTTTTTTGTTATGCTTAGTGGTTCCAATGATAACTGTCCCACATTGCAGCATTTGCACTGAATAATGCCAGCTTTAGACTCTCCAAAGATCTTGCATCCCACATTTCTCCATTTCACGCATTGTCTGCTCAACATTTCACTATGAAATTTGGTGAGTCTTTTTCACAATATTGTCTCCCTTAATCTGGAAATGGGGTTATTGTTTTTTTCTCTATTCTATAGTTTCTTTTTGTGGGTTATGATTTAATTATTCCGCTTTTTTATTCAATGGATCAGTTGTACCCATATACTTCTTTTTACATATGATTCTTTTTATTTCCTGGATTTCATCCCAATTAGATCTATAGGAGTCGTAAAATTACAATCAATTTGATTTGATTTGATGCAATCTGATGATGTGCTAGTTGCTTTTTAATTGTGAATAACGTGTTATGAAATTTCCGACGAGCAGCATTTCGGTCTAATAACAACTCTTGTTTGCTTCAATTCTTTGCTAGAAATGAATTTGGGTCAATTGTTGATATGGGATTAGAGTGGTTATTTCCATGCTTTTATGAAGCTGCACTCACTTAAATTCCACGACAAAATATGAAAATTAGTTCAATGAGGGATTATGAAATGGAATATTTAACAATGTATTCAATTGCCATTTATTTTCTCTATATGTGATATTCTGGTTCCTTGAGGATATGTGCAGCTTCTGCTTGGTCTTTCTAAATTTCCATTACATATACCTGTTCAGATGCTTTCTCTTCACTTGAGACATGCTTTTCAGAATACAGAATTTCTATTCCTGACGGCAATGCATCAAAATCATTGTTCTTTACATTTCTATTCCTCCACAAGTAAACATCTGTCTCTACCTGTAATGTAATACATGTTATTGGCATCTTTGTTTGTTTCTTCTTCGCTGCTGCATATTAGCTTTTCTTTTTTAAACTTGGATAACTTTCTGGAACTGATCTTGTGTGCCTGATGTAGAAGTAGACAAGTACTCTCAAATCAAAACACTCAGAACTAATCTGAAATCTCAATCAAATATCATCAAAACCTCACCCTTTATAAACTAATGCTTAGACATCTAGATTGCCATAGCATTATCTTATGATTGCATGACTGAAGTTCTAAGTAGAACATTTTGTCTAAGTCTGACGATCCGCATGACTGAGATTCTCATTTTTTTTTTCTTTTTTGGTTTCTGGATAATTGACTCAGGTTCTCAACAAAATGATTTGGCCTCCTCCCCTGGGCAAAGTTTAAATGGAAGTTTCAGAAAGTTTACATCTGGTTAGTATGTAATTTTAGCATCCAATTACTAGTGACTAGTAGGTATTTCCTTCACTGTCTTTTTGGTCATTATCAAGTTAAATCTATGTTGTTTGCATTTTTGCACGATATGCCCTGTTGTGGATCTGTGGACATTTTACTAGAACCATTAGAACAATTTCTCATAGAAGTAGAAAATTATATAACAATATGATGCTTGATGAAACTTGAGCAAGTACTGTGCAATGGTCCTTGACATAATTCCTGCAATCTTGTTTTGCAAAAATTGAGGCAACTTATAAATAAACTGATAGGATGATTTTTCTGGTAATAAAGAAAGTTGCATTATCATATCATGTTTTACACTATAGAAATATTACTATAGGAAATACATCCACAGCAGGATCTAACTGACTTGATATTGTTGCAAATCTTAATATCAGGCCTCATTTATCTATAGTTAAGACATGTATTCGACCCAAACATACTTCACTGTAAAATTTGAAATCTGGGATTAATGCAGACTCTTACTAATAATATGGTTCAGGTTTTCTTCGAAATGATTTGGATTCCCCTCCAGGGCAGAGCTTAGATGGAAGTTTCAGAAAATCCAGCTCTGGTTTGTTCTACAGTTTCCTTTTATTTGACTTTGTCTTGACAAAATGCCACCTAACCCGTCTCCTTTTACTTGTAAAAATTGTCTGCTATGTTCATCTCCATCTTCCTTGATTGTCTTAGCACATAATGACTTTATGGTTATCCGTGATATAGATATATATTATTTTGTTATCATTTATCTGGCTTACAAGAAAAAGAAATCTTTAAATGTTAGAAAACATGAGGAATAAAAAAAGGAAACAGAGATTGCTTTCTGATTGCACTTCCTCTTAAAATTCGTTGGAATATGCAGCTCTCAAATTCTTCTAGGCACAACTAGTTTGGAAAACAAGAATGGAAGTAATAATAGTTACAAAAGTTGGAACAAATTACTACTGCTATACATACACAAATACTATATAATATCCTAAAGATGTGTTTGGTGCACAAGATTGTGATAGGATAGGATAAGATGATATTATTAATAGGATTAGATTAAATAATGTCATCCTATCTTGTATTTAATGTGTGCAATGATTAGGATAGGATAATTTATTTATTGGTCAAAATTTTCCTTCCTCAAAGTTTGAACAATTTAAATTATTGAAGTAATTTTTAACGTTATAATAGGACATATAAATTCAATCCCATGGATTAAAAATAATCCTCTCTGCTTTGGGAGGATTGAATCGTCCTATACCAAGAGGATGATTATCATATCCTTTTCTTTAGATTCAAAATTAATATAGGATGATTATCACCCTATCCTATTCATCATTTTATGCACCAAACATGACCTAAGTTGTAGAACTTAGAAAACACCATATTTTCTTGTTAAGGTGAAATGAGACAAAACTTGTAGCTCACACTGTTGTATATACACAAAAAGCAATAAGCACACCTGCATGCGCCCATTAGTACACAGAAAGAGTGTGATAATACTACAAAACTTATCTTAATTCACTTTTATTTTCAATAATTCTTTGGCCATGCGCCCCGAGTATCTCAGTGGTTGGCCCATGATCCCCCTTCTCAAAGAGCAGGGTATGAATCCCCCCTTCCCCAAATAAAAATAAAAAATTCTTTGGCCTTCCCATGTTCAATTGGCCCTAGAATAATTTGTCTGCAATTGTCTGGTTCCTCTCTTGCACATTAAACTTTTTTTGCATTTGTTGATTATTACTCTATAAATGAAAAGTATTTGGATTGTAATATGATGCAGTTATCTCCATCCATAGTGTGTCTGGAATTTCATCTTCAAGCAAGTTCTTTCCAACTTCAAGAAGAGTCTACAAGGGACTGAAGGACTTTGGAAGGAAATTTATTGACCAGGAGTTATTTAAACAGAGTCTTGAGGATTGGGTTTGGGAGAACCCTTGTGTGGATCATGTTACAGGGGAGCAGTCTCTTTTTAAGTCCCCGTTTCTGATTGATGAATTACGCAAGCTTGATCTAGCATTGGAAGGGGTTTTATTTCAGCAACTGTGCCGTATGCCATGTTCTCATTATGCTCCTAAAGGTTTAAGGGAAGATGAGTATCTTGCTTTGGAAGACTTTCTTCATGCTATTGTAAATGGCCTATGGCGTACATTTTGGCGTAAAAGTGGACCATTGCCATTCTTTTTGTCTTGTCTCCGTCATCCTGGATCTAAGTTTTATGCTGTCGAAAAGGCAATATCAAGAGGAAGGTTAGAAGAGCTACGTGGTTTAGCTTTAATATCTAAAAGTGGGAATGATCTAAAAGTTCATTGGGATCAAGTAGTGGAGTTTGCCTTATTTAGAAAAGAAATACTGTCAGGAAGCGAGTTAAGATTGTCTGCTAGCACCATATGCGAAGCCCTATTTTATGGTGTTCATATACTTATTTCTAGGAGTTTGAGCAAGTACAGAACCGTTGGCACTGGTTCTGTTTTTATTATGGTTTTTGATTCTAAATTTGGTGCTGTGGTAAAACTTGGAGGTGATCTTAGTAAACTTGAATTGAATACAGCTGATCCATACCAGTCCGTGGTCCAATGGATAAAATGTCATGCTGAAGTCCTTGTTTCATCAGTGGACAGAATATGGAATAAGCTTGGGAATGCAAATTGGGGAGACCTGGGGACTCTTCAAGTACTGTTAGCTACTTTCTATTCCATTATCCAGTGGAATGGACCACCAAGAAAGTCAATAGCCTCATTGGCCTCAGATCATAGCCTTCGTCTTCAGAAGCGTAGAATAGAATGCCGCCTAGCTGAGAATGAAAATGCTATAGTACCTTACCAACTAGCTGGTTATCAACATGGAGAGATTGTTGAACTTGATCATAGTGATAATCTCCTGGTAAAGAATGCATCACGCTTGAAACTTAAGCAGGGAGAGATATTGCTATTGGAGGATCAACAACAGGGCCAGAAAAGTTTCCAGATACAAGAGTCCTTCATAGGAGGCAATGATTTTCTCTACAGTGCTATTTCTCTAGATTATCCCATGCAGTTGTTAACTTTGTATGTTGGTGCACATCCATCCAGACTTGAACCTTCTTGGGAGGATATGAGTCTGTGGTATCAAGTACAAAGGCAAACGAAGGTGCTAAACATATTGATGCAGCAAGGGATTTCAAGCAAATATTTACCTGAAATGATTGCCTCTGGGCGAATTTTGCATTCTGGTCCTTGCAAAAAGGAGAGTCCAAGCGGACGATGTGATCATCCTTGGTGCGGAACCCCAATTCTTGTCACATATCCGGTTGGGGAACCACTTTCATATATCGTTGCTAGGGATGGTCCACTTTCCTCCGATGATGCATTACGCTGCTGCCGAGACTGCCTAGCTGCTCTAAGAAGTGCAGCAACAGCCAATGTCCAGCATGGTGATATTTCCCCTGAAAACATAATCCGTGTTTTTGACATGCAAGGTACAAGAAACAAAGTTTTGTATATCCCAATTTCGTGGGGTCGTGCAGTTTTGGAAGACAGGGATAGGCCAGCAATAAATTTGCAGTTCTCGTCCTCTCATGCACTCCAGCATGGGAAACTCTGTCCTGCATCTGATGCTGAGAGCCTTGTCTACCTCCTTTTCTTTGTTTGTGGGGGCACAATGCAGCAACAGGATTCTATCGAATCAGCTTTGCAATGGAGGGAGAAAAGCTGGGCAACACGATTAATTCAGCAGTATCTAGGTGAAGTTTCACCTTTACTAAAGGCATTTGGTGATTATGTGGATAACCTTTGTGGAACACCATACCCAGTTGATTATGATATTTGGTTGAAAAGGCTTAACAGGGCTGTGGATGGATCTGGGTCAGCCGATAGGGGAAAAATGATCGAAGAAGTTACCATAACGTTGAGATTGGAAGATGTGGCTGAGTCTTCGGGGACCTCTGGAGGCGGTACTTAATTTTCATGCTGGAGGATCGAGTTTTGAAGGAACCTTTTTGTTTTTGTAACTATCGTTTTTCTTTAAGGTAACTATCCTTGGTTGAGATTCAATTGTTTTATTTTATTTTTTAAAAAGCCTTAGTTCTCTCCTTTCTGTATGCTGTGATTGTTGCAAACGTGCTTGATAAGGTGGCTCCCATATTCATTAAAAATGGATGCCATGAAAATGTGGTTTACATGCCAGTCAATTTTCAAACAAGCGATTGCAATGTAAAATGTCACTTCGGCAAAAGTTATGTGCTCAGGAACATTAATTTAAACTGCAGAAACTTGAGAGCGAGATAAATTCATTACTCTTAAGGGTGGAAATGATAAATTCATCACAACGAACTGTATTTTAAATAATCGTAAATACCCTCTTGATTCCAAGATCACGTGAAGGTTGTTCAGCCAAACTGGTAGGTTCTCGCAAAAACGGGTCAATGAAAGGTCACGAGATGCTCCTAATGTAAGGCCCCATTTGAATGCTTTGTTGCTTTTAATGTTGTTACACTTTATAATTTTAAGTATAACGATGATAGGATATGAAATAAAAATAAAAGATAAAAATAATATGATTTTAAATTTTGATAAATTATGTATGAATTTGAAAAAAACTAGAAACAAAAATAAAATATAAAAATGATATGATTTAAAATTTTGATAAATCATTTATGAATTAAAAAAATTAAAATATGTATTTTATATTTAGTATGTCGTTACAAATTATGATATAAAATTTTTATATTTTTATATAAAATAAATACGATATAAATATACGAATTATTAATCTAAGAGAGTGAGCGATTGGTGTTTAAGTACACTATCAACCACTTTTTGAATAATGATTCACAATGCATTTAGGCCATTCAACTTGCATTGGCTATTTCGAATTTATTTGGATAGACAATAAGATTAATTTTGATGAGATTAAAAATAATAGTAACAATACAACTAATTATTATAGAGGAGAAATCGAATACTATAATTGTGAGATTAAAATTAATGATAAAATATATATTTAAATGCAAATACAACAATGACAATAAAAAAAAGTGTAGTGAGAAAAAAATTACCATTAAAAATATTATATTAAAATTTGTATATAATAAAATTTATAGTATATATTTGATACTTGTAAAATTAATAATTAATTAAACAATATTAAAATCATTTATATATTTCAAATAGTATTTTTGTTAATAAATTAAAAATTACTAAAAAATATTTTTATAATAAATAATACTTTTGTTATTAAATTTTTAAAATTATTTCTATCTATATTTTAATGTTATTTAACATTTAAAATTTTTTAATTTTATTTAATAAATCATGACGTAATTTGATTTTAAAATAATATATATGATTTTAAGAAATAAAAAGCTAATAATTATATTTGGCAAATATAAAATAACAGTTTATACATAAATTTATATATACTTATTTATACTTTAAATAAGTGTATAATTGAAAACCTCAATATAAAAAAGGAAATGAAGCATCAACGAGAAAAGAAAAAGTGAGAGAGTTAATAAAAATGAATAATTTGAAAACTTTAAAGTTATTCATAAAAAAATCTTTAAAGTTAAAAATTATTTATCAAAATCGGAAAAGAAAAAAAAAAGTTGGGGTTTTAAAATTAGGGGCATTTTAGGACACACATTAAATATTCAACGGTGGACGTGGAAAGGCAAATAAATATTATGAATAAAATTAACATGTAATTGTAAATTTAAGAGGGATATTTTAGTCCAAAAATTTAAAAATTAAGGATAAAATCATGAGCAATATGATGTGATATGATAAAGACAAAATTGACCAAATCAAAATCGAGTAATCCACTGGACCTCTTTACCTTCAGGGAAGTTTCGACCCTTGACGCGGCCCAAAGAATTCAATCACTCCTTGCATTTGTTAACCAAACACAAATTTCAGTGCAACTAAGCCGACCAACTCACTTAACCGTACTGAACTGAAAGTCCAGTAAAAACCGAATGGATCCTATATCGCCATTGGTGGAAGGAATCAAATCCCTCTATTCTGACGTACACTGTGTTTGTCAGAAAGGAAAATAGGAAAAAAAACGTGTGAAAAGAAACGAGGGAAAACAGTTCTTTTCTTTCTTTGGTATTAAAATAAGGTGAATGAAAATGCAGCTTTCCACACCCGTCAAAACAAGGTGAATTCAAAAAACCCTCTTTCTAAAAACCTAAAAACATAAATTCCTTCCTAGTTTCAAAACACCCATTTAACTCTTAAATTGCAGGAGCATTTAATTTATAATTTTTATTATAACTTTACAATTATTTAATAATAATAAAAATTTATATAAAAGTTCATCATTTATAAATATAATTTTATACATAAAATTTTAATGTATCTCACATAATTTTAAATTGTAATTAATTAATTATAATATAATAATTATAGGTGCTGCCCATATTGTTATAAAATAATTATTTTACCCTTCTATCTACAATAATTTTCAAGTGTATTAAGTTAGTTTGTTCACCTTATGTTTAGCAATCATCAAGGTTTTAATGTTTCTCTCCCTTTTTTTTTTTTAGGAAATTTGCAAGATTTTAAATCTATATTCCTAAAATTTTCATGATAATTTTCTCTTATTATTTATATTTATAGTTCTATCAATAAATTTATATATATATATATATATATACTTGTGCATTTTGTAGTTCCATGTATGGTAACAGTTATTTATTGTTTATTAATATGGTAATTTCTTATCATTTCTTTTACTTATCTTGTAACTATAAATTAACCATTATTTTTATTAGATTTTTATTTGAAAAAAAATATAAATTTTAAAAAAATATTAACTTTTCATTTCAAATTATTAGTTCTTCTATAAAATTATAGACTTTAAAAACATAGTTAGATAGATATGAATTTATAATAAAAGTATATATGGATAAAATTTGTTAGAAAATCAATATGTACGCATAGCACCAACACATACAAATAATAGAATAAACCTAAAATAAGAATAAAAACACATAAATATATTTATTTCAGCTCAATCCAAAATGCTTTACTCCAAACCCAATTCACTAATAAATAAATCTTTACAACTATAAGAATTTTAGAATAAGAAAAGTCACCAAAAGCCCTTAACTCAAAACTTAACCAAAAACTCAATTACATCATTTTGATAGCTTACTCACTTAGCTATTCTCTTAATGTCTAATTATATGGAATTACTAAACCAAAACTAAAACATCTTATTTAGAAGAGTGAAACCCCTTATAACTTTACTAAACTGTCAATGTGAGATATAAGATAAACTTTCAACTCTTATTACTTTTTTCAACTTTTGATATGGGATTTAGAGATTCAAGGCAAACCCTAACAAATCCTTCATTGACTTGAATCTCCAAACACTTCAATAGTATTTGCAAAGCTAACACACTTGCTTTTTTTCTTTTCCTTCATCGTAGGAATCCCAATAACTGAGCCTCCATTAAGCATGTACAAGTGATTTTTGACTCTATTCTTTTGTAGAATCACACTACCATTCTTGTACACTTTGCAACATTCATTTCATCCATAGATACATCCACAAGAAGCTAACTCACTTGAAGCAATCAAAATGTAGCTACAACTCGGTAAATACCTTACATAACGAAACATCCTAACAACACCATTGTGATATCTAAGGCAAACACTTCCAATGTCTTGAATCTGCACATTTTCATTGTTGGTAACCATAATATCCCCATATTTCTCATTCTTTTCTACCTTCACAAAGCAACACCTATCATCGCAGACATCGACTATAGCATTACCTTTATCACCTCTCAAAGTCTGAGTGTCATCCACACAAATCATCAAAACGACATCATCATCGGACATAACAGCAGTAGTATCACTCTTTTCTTCATCGATTTCTTATCATCATTCGTTATTTTGAAAGAAATCTTATCCCTTCTCAACTTCTTGCCACACATTTGGATATGTCCATTTTCACCACAATAATAACACTCTATATTATTGTAATCTCTATTTCTTAACTTGGATCTTTCTTTTGATTCATCAATCCTCTTTTGAGTTTTCTCTTGATTAGAACCATTTACAGCTAGTGCATTCCTCCAAGTGATGAGTTTTATGTTCCCATAAACCTTTCGTTCTCACACAATAAGGCAATCACATTATCCAACTTCAAAGTATATTTACCCACAAATAAAGTTTGAACTAAAGGTCTATAGGACTTGGAAAAAAATGATAATAAAATTAAAGCTTTCTCTTAATATTCTAACTTATCAACAGAAATCGTCAGTAATTGAGAAACTAACCTATTAAACTTATTCAAGTGAAGACTTGTACCTTCTTCTATCCTTAAAGAATACATATTCATCTTTAAATATAATATGTTAGTCAACGACTTTGTAGCATAAATACCTTCAGAGTGCGTTTGGTTTAGGGGAATTCATAAATTTTCATCGAAATCTTAATAGTGGGTATTTGATTCCTACGTTTGATTTGAGGTAATCTGATTATAGGAAAAATGTCAGATTCTTAATAATACCCAAAGTCTCGAAATCAAAAACTCACCTATCCCTATGGTATTCAAGGATTCCTAGGGAAAAGTTGCTAAACTCTGTTATAGGTTTTTGTATAAAAAAATAAATTTTTTATATTACAACTAAGGCGTTTGGCATGAAGAAATGCCTTAAATAATTCTTTTATATTTTTATAAATGGATTATTTAAGGCGTTTCTATATAGAAAATGCCTTAAATAATCTTTTTATATTTTTATAAATGAATTATTTAAGACATTTCTATATCAAAAATACCTTAAATAATCATTTTATATTTTTATAAAAGTATTATTGAAGGTATTTCGGTACAACATCAATAAGCTCTTTGAGCTGTCTCTGCAATTTTTCCAATTCTAGAAATGACAACTGTTGTAACGTATCGGTCTGGAGACTCAATCGCTAGACATAAGAATTTAAAAATTATGAAAAAACATAGGGAGTCATCACCAATCTTTTTTAGGGTATGATTGGCCATCAAAAAATTTTATATTTTTAATAAAACAATAAAATAGATTTAAAGCTTTATTAAAAAGATGATTTTGGTCTATGAAAACAAAATCAGGTTCAGAAGTCGATTACGCATAGGGAAAGATTAGCGCCCCCACTGCACTTATAGAATTGGTACCAATTAATTAAGCATTATTTATAATTTTGGAGAAAAATGATTTTTATATGAAATTTAATTACAATTTCCTTTATTTTATGAAAAATAAAATTAGTTAAAAAATTTTTTATTTAGAAATATTAAGAAACTCTTTAAATTAAAGATATACCTTCAAAGTCTTCGACATAAAGGCAGAATTTGAAAATA